TATACCCCAAAATGTAAAAATCTGTTATTGGTCTTTCTTTTGGGGGCAGATCCACCAATTCTGGCACAACAGCAATAGACTACTAGAAAGTTCCTTCTCTGCCAAGTTTTAGAACATTGGAGACTTGCTCAATAAATGATGCATCTTTGTGGTTCCTGAAACAGAAGACTGCCCCTCACCCAGGGAAATGCCCTGATGTGTTTGAAGTGACTAGATATAATTTTGTAATAAAGAAACAGAAGCAGTCACTTAGTAGAATCTTCTAAGCATTGTCAACATAATTAAACTCTGCCTCACATATGTTTTTTAGGTAATTGCTGTCTCCAGAGCTTAAGGATACATAATCCTATCTACCATTTACAGGGCATGAGGATCTTAATTGCCTTTGCACCTAATATATCAAAACTAAGGTGTTTAGGAATATAAACTCAGTGCCATTAAACCTTTTGTTCCTAGTATTTGCTGATAAATCTACAATCTAACAAAACTGCTTATATGTGTGTTGTTCTAATACCGGCACCCTAGTCTTTCTTGGAAACTCTTATTTCTGATTCTATTTTTAGCAAGAATCCTATAGGAGAGAAGAGTTCTGGGGCTGGTTGGTTGGTTGGTTGGAAAATTCTGGTTGGCCCAGTAAACTCAGCTCTGATGAAGTAATGGGATATGTGATGAGAAATGAGTGTCAAAACATCAAGATAGTAATCTTGAGCAAAAGCATCTTTGGGGTATTTATAAAGAATACATGCCACCAGGTGTAATTATGGAGGTTTTATTTTTTTAGGGATTTAATATAGTAAGAACTCAGCAAAGCATCAAGTTGATAATCCCACTGTCTCATAACACTGGGTTTGAAAAAGTCCATTTATTTTGGAACAGAGTAGCCAAAAAACCTTAAAGTCTTAAATATTCTGAAAAAGATAATCAACCCACATTCATGAAAAAAAGCAGAGGAGGAAGATTATCAACATTAATGACTATAAAATGAAGAGAACCAGAAAAGGGGCCAGTTTATCTGCAATAAAAAAGCAAGCTTAAAAAAATAAAAATAAAAAAGCAAGCTTATCTATGTGGAAATGTGATCTTGAACATACATTTTATTTTATTTTAGATTTATTTATTTATTCATTCATTCAGAGAGCGAGAGAGAGGCAGAGACACAGGCAGAGGGAGAAGCAGGCTCCATGCAGGAAGCCTGACATGGGACTCAATCCCAGGTCTCCAGGATCACACCCCGGGCTGCAGGCGGCGCTAAACTGCTGCGCCACCGGGGCTGCCCTTGAACATATATTTTAAATGTTAGAGAGAAGAGCATAGTTGTGTCAGTGTATTTCCCCCTATACATGCACCCAATCTTTTAGGGAGTAAAACAGCTGCAAAGATGTTTTGAACAACTGTACAGGAGTTAAGAAAAGATCCAAGCCAGTCTCTTCAGTGGACACTGATACAGCCCCAAAAAACAGTTGTTGGGAAGTTAAGGGACGCCTGGGTGGCTCAGTGATTTGAGTGTCTGCCTTCAGCTCAGGGCCTGATCCTCATTCTAGGGATGGAGTCTTGCATCAGGCTTCCTGCAGGGAGCCTGCTTCTCCCTCTGCCTATGTCTCTGCCTCTCTCTCTCTCTGTCATGATAAATAAATCTTAAAAAAAATATGTGGCATGTTGAATAATTTTAGAAATACTACATTTAGTCACTAAGTTTAAAGTTAAGAGTGTCAGACTATGTATTGGCCTGTAAACGACAAGTCTTTAGTAACCAAATGGCAAATAGCAATAGTAGTTATGTCATGTGCCAAATAGACAGGTCAACATAGGATTGTTATGAAGAGTAAATGAGGGAATGCATATAGACTTTATAGCACAAGGCTTTTTTTTAGCTGGATTTTCTTTCCCTCTCAGAAAATATTAACATCTCGGTTTAAAGTTAAGTTTTATGATGTCACCACAGCTCTTAGTGCACTTTATTGCACGGTTATAGTAAAAATATTAAGAATATGTCTTGGGACTATAACGTCACACATCAGAGCTGTTTTTTTAAGGTTTGCATTATTTTTTTAAAGACTTTATTTAAAAAAAAACAAAAGATTTTATTTATTTATTCATAAGAGACACATAGAGAGACAGAGACATAGGCAGAGGGAGAAGCAGGCTCCACACAGGGAGCTTGATGCGGGACTCGATCCTGGGACTCCAGTATCATGCCTTGGGCCCAAGGCAGGCACTAAACCACTGAGCCACCCAGGGATCCCCAGAGCCATTCTTAAGCTAAGAAATCTTTTTCCACTGTAAAGCAATCCAAATTCCTGACTTTGCTAACAGTTCAGGACTGCTAAGTAATAATATAGCGAAGATCATACTGGGCAGTCAGAATGGGCTGAGAATTTCACATGTATTATTTTACCTAAACATTCAAACATTACTGTGAGGTAGATACTATTTTGTTATCTCCATTTTGCAGATGGGAAAGCTGAGGCCAAGAGAGTAACTTGCAGAGATCCATAGCCAGTAGGTGCTTGAGCCCGGATGAAACAAGCTTCTGGGGCTCTTGCACTTAACTGCAGTACTCTTCCTAAGAAAGGTATTGGTTGAGAGGAAGGGCGGCAGATCAGATGCTGAGGATAAAGTGGGGAAAATGTTAAGGTAGAGCCAGCATTCTTGCTCAAAGCTAAATGTCCAGGCCAGAAGTGGTTATCAAGGAATAGGAGCTTGAGCCACAGAAGTCAGGAAATGAAGAGGAGGGTGGTTCAAAGAGAAGACTATGTATGACCTGATATATATTTGAGGGGTGATTGGAGAATTTGGAAATAGCAAAACAAGTCTATGTGCATGAAGGGGTGAGATTGTGAGAAACCAAACCCAGAAGACTGTTGGTGAAGGAGGAAGCCAATTCCTCAGAGTGGGTAGATGTGTGAACTGGTGAGGCTCAGGATGGATGTTCTTACTGTTTTCGTTGTGTTTACCTCTCAACGTTTCCTCAGACATTCCCTTCTTCCTCTGGAGGCTAACATCTGGGGTTTGTTTTAGCATTCAACTCCTGCATACTTTAGATTTGTGTAGTCTGAAAGAATTTTTTCTTGTCAATAGGAATTGTGTCCCCCTGAAAAATACTCTTCATGAATTATCTTTTTCCACAGGTGAGCACTTAATACATATATTTAAATTGTAGGTACCATGATCTACCTCAGAGATACAGCATGTATTATCAATACTCAAATAGGTCATCAGAGCTCATTCTTTACAGTGTGTGTTATATATACTTAAATCTGACCAAGAATATTTTTATACTTTCATAAGAAGTATTATATTTGCTATATTTTCACAAGTTCTCTTCCAAAGTATCAAGCCCTGAAGCAATTGTTAAGAATTGTAGAGCACTTCTCAAATTCAAATGTGCATATTTTAATCATCAGCCTGACAGAACTGTAACTTATTTTAGCCAACATGTTCTTTAGTGATGTCATACCCATCACTCTTTCATTATTGGTTTTTTTTGTCAGTCCTGAGAAAATTATCTTGCATTATGTGAATCTATGCAAATGCCTAATGGAGTTTGTATAAAAACTCCAAACATCAAAAGATTTTTAAATTTTCTATTTTGTTTTGAATGCACATATAATGAAACTTTTGATCTACTTTACAGAGTCAAAACTATAAAGAAAAAGAGCTAGAGTCAAAGATTTTGAAAATCTAGAATATATAGGGTTTCATCCAGGAAACTGGTTACCATAATTTAAGGTAATTTTAAAAGGATTTTTAAAAGAAATATTTTAAAAGGATTTTTAAAAGAAATATTTTCTAAAGGTACATGTAAAGTTATGCTGTAGAAGTCTTGTCTTAAATTATTTTTTTCTGTATTCTGTTACTAAAAACGAAGACAGGCTATTTTTTAAAGTGGACCCGTGAACCTCCCGAAAGTGATGGGGTTGAGGTGCAGAACCTTATTAGAGAGCTTTGTTCCCTCTGCCCTGTAGGCTTAGCCCTTCCTTGGATGGGAAGGAAACAGTTCAGGCATCATCCATCTCCCCAGGAGGTGTGCAAACCTGGTTTGGAGCTATGTGTACTATGTGAATCCATGTTTGAAATAGGGTTTCTAGTGAACCTTTTCCTGCATGCAATGCCAACTAACTGCCTGCTTTTAATTGGGCATTAACTCCCTAATAGATAGCGCCATCATCATTAACCAGGGTCCAGGTCCTACTCTCTACCATTGAAGGATTAGACAATTATGCAGTGTTTGACCAGACTTTGAAAATGCCTGATTTGGAACAGAAGAGTGCCCACAAATACCTTAATGGAAAGACTGGCCAGCCCTCTGGCAATGTTATGACAGCTAAAAGAACTTAATAACCAGCTCAAAGTGTGTTCCCAACAGAGAAAGAGATATACTTGGTAGAAACAAAAATATAAAAGATGAGAATTCTTCTATTGGCAGAGCATGTATATTTATACATTCTTCTGTGTTTAGGTCAGTGGTTGGAGAACACTTCCTGGAAGGACCGGGGTACACAAATGTTTTCAATTTGAGCTTGTACATTTCATCTAATTGGTCCCTGGGACAAGGTTCACTGCCCTGGAGGTGACTTGGCTTCATCTTTCAAACACACACTAATGAATTTCAGGTCTGGGACAGAAAATGGCTGCTCCGTATCAGACAATCATGTGAACTTGGAATTGTTTCCCATGAATGTCTTCAAGGACTATGTAATACCACTCTGGATAGTGGGTTTTTCTGCCATCTCCAACCACAGATAACTTCCCTTGCTCAGGATACTCCGTGCTTGCCTACTTTTAAAACTTAGATTTAGGGGATCCCTGGGTGGCGCAGCGGTTTGGCGCCTGCCTCTGGCCCAGGGCACGATCCTGGAGACCCGGGATCGAATCCCACATCGGGCTTCCGGTGCATGGAGCCTGCTTCTCCCTCTGCCTGTGTCTCTGCCTCTCTCCCTCTCTGTGACTATCATAAATAAATAAAAAATCAAAAAAAAATTTAAAAAAAAAAATAAAACTTAGATTTGGCATATTGCTTCATTTTTGAAGGGAACATTGTGGGAGAAAATATGGCAAAGATCATCTAAGTGGAGCCCGGTGTATTAAAGGACATTTAGAAATAATCTTAAAGCAACCTGAAAAGATTGGTTTGGGTTGAATACATCTGCTTTGGTTTTCCTCTCAGCTGTTTGAAGTAAGAGAATATTCAAAAGGAAGACATTTTGCATATCTTTTTATATTGATACATCTACAGGGATTTTATCTCCTCTGATCCAGCTCACCCAAAAAGTCAAGGAAGTGGGGTAGTTGAATATAGAAACGTGTTTTGTGTAGATGGAGAAGTAGGCTAATGAAGTCACAGACATCCTTTCATCAGAATGACTGGCCCTAAATAAAATAAAATAAAATAAAATTTTAAAAAAAAAAGAATGACTGGCCCTGAGCTCTGTGTGGCCCCCCCAATCCAGCCTGCACACCTTTGCAGTGCTTATAGAGACTTGGCTCTGACTAGTGTAGAAGACAAATGCAGTTAGTTACTCAGCTTTGCGCATGTCTTGCCTATATGCTCAGAGTGAGTCACAATTTGTGTTGGGCCAATAGGTGAAAAAAATGTTGATTTCATGAATTTCTGTAATTTCCTTATGGAGTGGGAGAATTTCTGTTTCTGCATGTGCTGCTATATTTCTCCCATTTATGCCATTCATCGTCTGTGAGACTGTGCACAGGCTGTGCATGTCTCCTGTCTGAACCTCAGTTCCCTCCTTCCTCTCTTAAGCAAGGTGTGCCAGGTGATCTCCTAAGGCCCCTTCCAGCTTCCAAGTCTGAAGTTCAGTTTCTTCTGTACATAAGAGGTCGGGGCATCAGTTGCATTAGCCATCTAGAGCCTACTTGGGTTTTCTCATTGATAAACTCCCAGCAGATGAGTGAATGAACAGCAACACTCAAGTTCAGCAGAGAATTTGCATTGGGCATGCTGGAATGATCAGTGAAAATCCTGGGTGATGAAGCATTCCTGAGTGTCGGGCAGGGCTTGTCAGATGACAGTGCCCCATCAGTGCTGGATGCTTCCTGGGCATGGTGGCCTGTTTGAGATCACAAAAAAGCAGCATGAGGTAGTCTTGCATAGAGTCTGGCATCAGAAGGGCTTGGGTACCTCCACACCCCTGGCCATCCCCACTGACCCAAATACCCTAGCCTTATTACCTTGGCAAGTTACTTCACAGCTCTACAACTTAGGTTTGGTTATTTTTCAAATGAAGATAATATCTATTTTTCTGAGTGAAAAGCATAAAGATAATGTGTTTGAAAGTGTCTAGCAAAGAGGTGGACCTCCATAAATAGGTAACTAAACCCAGAAATGTATAAAAATAAAACACAAAAGATAATTTTATCTGAAAGCCAAGGGGGGGCAGAAAACTAACATTTGTGTAGTGAGTAACATTTCATAGAGGGCTTTAAGACAGAACATCTTTTAATCCTCCCAACCTGGTTTTACAGATGCAGAGATCCTGGCAAAGTTCTCAGGGTCACAACACCTGGAAAACAGTGGAGTCAAGATTTAAGATCTGATTACAAACTGTTGTGCCCTTTTCACAATATGCTACAAACATACCATTGCATTTGGTTGATATATTTTATAGTTAAGATTATGCCTGTAATGACTCTGAAAAAGGAAATAAAGGACCAGAAATGGTAATGGTACCTATGTGGGGGGTTTCTCCTTATGCCCTTTTTATATGCCTACAGCTATACTGACTGCCATTTAAGACAAACCCAGGAAGCCCTGGCCAGTTGCTCCTCACTTTATGGGGTCTTAGTTCCGAAACAGCTCCTGAGGATAGTTGGAAGATTTGAATATCTCTGGGATGTCACTGTCCAGTTTCGAAATAATTTTATAAATGGGTTTCTTCCAGGAAGGATCTGAGTCTTTCCCCGTGGAGACAGCCCTGAAGAACTCCTGTAACGTCAAGCTGGCAATTTCCAAGAAGCAATCTGGTACCTGCATTCCCAGAGAGACCCACAAGAAAGAAAAGACATGAGGCTATGGAGCCCTAATGCTGTGCAGACCTCAATGCTGCCTGTTCCTTGGGTGACGGGCTGAGAAGAGCATCTCTACTCTCCTGGCCCTAGATTTCTGCAGCCCTAAGAATTTCCCCTGCTCTCTCATCAAGTACAAACCTTAAAATGATGGTCCCTGTGAGACAGCCCTGGGAAAAAGCATATCAGGGGCACTCTACTTTGTAGGAAAAGCTGCTTCTACTAATGGTGATGTTTTTAGTAAGTGGGAAGCTCTGACTCTGATTGAAATTAAATTTGTGGTTCAAAGGAGGTTTTTAGTATTCTTTTCCTTAGTGGCTGATGTTGAAAGGCATGCCCTCAAATTTACAACTGTTGTATCTTTTGGAGTTGGATCCAAAAGACTTGGAATCATTCCTGCTTCCAAAGCCAAGTATGAGGTTGAGGGGACTCAAGAATATGTTCCAGGACCTCACACAGACTGGCACCATAAATGATGGGGGAGTCCCACAGGTCATCTAAATCCAGCCTGGCCCAGGGCTGGCCAGGACTGCATGCCAAATGACCACCCCATGTGGAAACATAGGCAGCACTGCTCCCCCTCCACACCCCCTGACCCCAGAAGCCTCAGAAAGGAGGCTTAAGTTTCCAAACATATCATGACTGAACATCTGGTAGATGCCAATAGTTCTTCCCTTTTTGGAGGTATCAGAATCAAGTGAGAAGGGCAAGGAGAGGGGAGTGTAGTCAGTGACCTACAGAGCAGGATGACAGTCCAGCAGAGCTGTTGGCTGCACACAAGGAAATGCGTGCCTAGATTAGGAGTTGTCACAGATGACATTTAGGCCATGTGCTCCCCCTTTACTGATGCTTTACCTCTAAGGTGCCACCAGTGTGCCTTCATAGAGATTCCCAAAGGACCAAGAAGCTTGAGTCCTGTTTATTCAGTATTTACAGAAAGAAAGGATTTGAGGTGACTTGCCATGAAAGGCCCACAAATAAAACTGTTCAAATGAGAAAAAAGGAACCAAATGATGAAATGAACAGAAATTGTAAGGAAAATGGAGGCCAAGTCTAGGTGCTACCATCATTTAGTGGTGTGCCTCCTGGATAGAAGGGGGAAAAGGTCAACAAGCTATGGAACTTTTCAGTACAGAGCATTAAATCTAAAATGGCACAACACCTGGTCAACTTCTGCTTTAGTTTCAGAATGAAGACTGGCTGTATATTCATCTTGTGACATCCAACTGTTGCCTAAGAGAAGATGTTGAGTCTTATCTTTGTGGGCAATACAGACATTGGCCCCAAGCTGCCTTGGCTCTCACTGACTTAAGGACAGACACAGAAAGGGATCTTTTCTAAAACTCAATCACAAAGGGAAGGCAATCATCAGACCTCATGGGACCCAAGTATATGGTCTTACCTCAAAGTCATTTCCCTTGTTATAGTGCATATTGAGAGTTCGATAAAGTTCTGAGTTGCGGAGTACCACCAGCATTTTGGGATTTGTGACACCATCTGAAATCGCTTGCCGGGCAAATTTCTCCATTTGGATGTAATAAAACTCACGGAAGTTGCTGAACCATTTGATCATCTGGGAGGTTATGCAGCGGTTGAACTGTACAAACAATAGGCTCCATCAGGTCAGATGTTTACCATGAGGTGCTCAGCTTCCAGTTCAGCATAGGGCTTAATAAGGAGGGCTTCAACCACCATTAAAAAGGGCTTTCATTTTTTTAGAGGGGGGGGGCAGAGAGAATCTTGAGCAGTCCCCAACCCAGGGGTTGATCTCACAATCCTGAGATCATGACCTGAGCTGAAATCAAGAGTTGGATGGTTAACTAACTGAGCCACCCAGGCACTCCAAAAAGGGCTTTATTTTAAAAAGAAGTCACAGCTGTTTTCCTAGCCTATTCACTTATACACAGAAAAATCTCAATTAGCTACAATGTCTATTAGAAAATATTGTTTTCATTATACTATATGTTGGCAAATTAAATTTTAATTTTAAAAAAGAAGGAAAATGTTTTTGATATACTGGAATTATGACTTAAAAATTTTTTAAAAAAATTTTTTACCCATGAAAAGCTTTCCATGGTGTCTAGTATAACATTGGGAGGACCTGGGGTCAAGGCCAGATGTTTCTGCTGTGCATGGCAGCCCCAGAGCCTTCTGTCGGGTCAAGTGCAAAAAGAAGGGATAAAGGTGTAGACTGGAGAGCAGTTCGTAGCAACCATACAGTTGCAGAATGAATTGAAATTAGAGCTTGGTGCAGGAGCCACTTGAGCAACTGAATATGAGGGAAAGGTCTGAAAAAAATGCAAAGATGTAGATACAAAATATTAGCAGCCCAATCCCAACACCCAGGGTAGAAGAGTCCCTCAGAAGCTTTTCAGGCACAGGCAAGGTCTGGTTCCAACCACCAGAGGTTGATTCTCCTGTCACACTCGATCTCTCTGCGCCTTCAATCAGGTTTGAAAGGTAGCACTTTGAATAGAAACAAGACAGTGAGGAAAAAAAAAAGAAACAAGACAGTGTACAACCCTTTATATATTCCTTCTTTTTCATGGTCTCCACAGTAGAGACAAAATACTAGGCTGAGATGCCATTTACTAATGTTTCCCTCTCCCTGCCACTTTCCCTCACCCCCCTCTACCCATTTGTTTCTGGGAATATCTACAGCTCAAAAGTTTAAAATTCAGATACCTAATCTTTGTGGCCCAAAGTTATTCATGCAGAGTCTCAACCCAGAACTGGAAATCCTACTGATGCCATCAGCAACATGAAGGGGACCTGAAGTGCTTGCCTCCCACTGGCCAGAACCCAGTGCCTCTTGGGAGTTTTGTAGAGGCTTTCAGAGGTGATAAATGACTCTACCTGGACATCAGGGAAGTAAGCCTTCAGGAGGTTGGAGCTGGGGTAGCGTGTGAAGAAAAACATCAGTTTGGCCTTCTTCAAGTGACCGGGATTTAGGCCCTCCTGGATTTATCTCAGCGTCAAGGAAAACTAACACCAGCTTGTCAGATAATTTTATCAATTTATCCAAATAATGAATAGTCCTACTCCTTATGGTTTCTATTTTATTTCATTTTATTTTTTTCTGGTTGAATGGTGTATTAGTTCCATTTTTTTTGTCTCTATGAAGTCTGATCAGATACACTTTTTCTTAGGGTGCCTGGCTGGCTCAGTCGGTAGAGCACATGATTCTTGATCCTGGGGTCTTGAGTTTAAGACCCCCACTGGGCTTGAGCTTACTGAAAAAAACTAAAAAAAAAAAAAAGAGCTTTTTCCAGATGTTGAATACCATATATGTACGGTAGATTTGCAGAATTTAAAAAACATTTTGATGTGTAAAAGTTCTGTGGCACATAGGATCTCAGCTTGTCGTACTTTGTGTGTGTGTGTGTGTGTGTGTGTGTGTGTGCTTTCAGAATAGAATGGGAAGAGATGGCAAGTCTGTGCCAGATCTCAAAATCCCACATAGAGATTTCCTTCCCCTTCTCTGCCTCAGTTTCCCTGTCTGTAAAATGAGGTGAGCTAACTGGTCCCTGTTCTACTCTCACAGCTCCCTTTGCAGTGTTCAAGCCAACAAACGCCTAACCAGCCTGAGTACCAGATCCCAGTTTGCTTCGGCTCAGGAAGCTTGAATTTCTTGACTGTGCATGCTCCCAGCATGGCTGGCAGAGCTCTCCCTCACCCCTTCCCTGTGAAATATTTCCTTGCTGAATCAGGCCTTCCTTACCCTGGGCTGTTGAGGCTTTTTGTACAAATCTCTGTTGTAGCAGTGACCTTCCTGGAAGTTTTATCACATGTTGTTGTGTCCCCATTTAGAATGTGAGCTCCTTGAGGGCAAGGACCTTATCTTTTCATCTTTGTATTCCACATGCCTAGCCCAGTGCTAGGAATGTAGTAGGTGCTCAATAAATGATTGTTGGCTGAAGGAACAAGTGAGTGATTGGATGGTCAACCTTAATCTGTACCAAAATATGGAAATTATGTTACAACCCCATACCTCACCCTGAGGACAGATCACTTGTCTGCTAATAAGAGCAGGGGCTGTGGTGTGACTGTCTTGCACCAGCGTGGGAAGGAAATAAAGATTCCGACATAAGAACACATAGCATTTCCAGGGAGAGTCCTGGGGCTGGGTGCAAAGCATGACACAGAGTAAGCTTGGAGTTCAGGTCAGAGAGCTATACCTTTAGGACAGTTAAGACTTCCCATAGGACATACCAGTTTAGCCAAAGGAGACCAAACCAACTGATCACAGTTACCACTGGCCATGGCACCCAGGATGCTGCCCTTGTCTCATTTGACCTACTACTTATCCTTCTCGAAGGTTCACAAATGCTGGGGAAAGAAGGCTGGACTTAGGAGTCCAAAGACCCAGTTTCAGATACTGATTTTGCCACCAATTTTATGCAAGCCACTTACCTTCTCTGGGCCTCATTTCTAAAACGTAAGCATGGTAGTTAAAGCTTGTGCTTGGCAGTCAGATCCTGGGTTTGAATCCTGTCTCTTCCGTGTGTCTGTCTCATGACTTTAGGCAGATTAGTTTTCTTCTCTGTCCCTGCCTCTCAGACACCTGATCTAGGGTGGATGCTTGAGGATGAAGAGGTAACACAGGCCCACAGCCCCTTATCTGAAACTCTGGGCCAAATGGGGTTCAGATTTCAGAATTTGTTATTTTATTATGGTCACACGGTGCATGTGCCATATGTTAGTTAATGGTCAGAGCAGGGGCTGTGGCAGCAGTCCATAAACCAACACGTTCCTATTTCCACAGCAAAGTGGATGGCTACTTACACTAAGTGAATAGTCTATAAAGAGCCTCCAATCAGTGCAGGTCAGGTTTTGGCACCAAAAATGTTTCCATCAACCTTAGAGGGAAGAAATGACAGGGATTTTCAGAGCTCTTGAGTTCCAGAATTGTGGCTAAGTGGCGGTGGACGCGTACATGGGAACGGCTGCTGGCGCTGCCTGCCGCAGGGAAGGTGCGCAGCAGATGCTGCCCCCTACTGGCTGTCTCGTCACTCCTGCTCTGCCTGTTGCAGAAGTTTGTGATAGTTTTTTTACACTTCAAAGTAGCTTGCTCTCCGTAGCTTCCCTGGGCCAGGAACACATCTCTAACGGAGGGTAGGCAACAGGAACGAGGGAATGGTCGGGAACCAGGATGCTGCCCAGGGGCCTCAAATCACTCCTGGCAGCCAGGCCCTGTGCATGGGCTCCCAACGCTCTCGGAATTCCAGTCCTTATTTTCCGGAGCAGGGCTAGGCACCTTGGGTAGGTGCCCAAGAAATATCAGCATGCCCCTCCCAAGGGAAGTATAGCAGAGAACTTTTGGGGGCTGAGTCCTTTAGGTTTTTTCCACCATGGTCCAACTTTAACCACTAGCCTCTTACCAAAGGCCCAGACAGGTAGCCTTTGTCTTACAAGGCGATGTCCTAACAATCTATCTCTACACCTCCAAGATTTCCTACTGCCCGAGAAGCAGTAGTGGCCTGTGAGGTGTTCTCAGTGTTGGTTTCATGGTTGCTGGTGGCCTGCCTGCCTGCCTGGACAGCTCTCGGCAGTGCCCGAGCTTTAAGGGTGTTTCCAACACCTATGACCAGAAGAGGGCGCTCATGGCATTTAGGACACCAGAGCCCACACCGGTGTGGCCGTTAAGTGGGTCCCACCCCATCTTTCTGCCCCTAAATACAGCTTCCCAGGAGAAGGACATGACTGTTCACACCTGGAAAGCAGCTCCACAGACGCATTGACCTCTGGAGACTCAAGTCTAGGCTTCCCATGAGAACCAGCAGTGGAGCTCCACCCTCTTAAAAAACAACATCCAAACTAATGTGGTCGGGAACTTTAGCCCTACCAGGATGCTTGTTGGAAGAGGATCTTTGGTCATGTGAGGTTGAGGTTGCAGACCTCCTCTTAGAGCTTCACATACAACATCGGCGTGTTAAAGGTTCTGAGAAGTCCCGCAGTCAAACTTCCCAGTGGTCGAAATAACCAGTATTTAAACAACCAGTAGAAATCATCTAGTAGTTACCCAAGCTGTTTTTTTCCCCTAATTTACCAACTATTAATATCCTGAGGGAGGATTACTCTGGGCAACACTATCTGGAAGAGTGGAGTCTGCCTATGGGTTACAATAAGATCCAGATCCCTACAGACCTGGCCGGTGGGGCACCCCCTCCCTCCAGAGGCCTAGCCCCCAACCTCTGGTCATCCTCTCAGCTGCCACTTAGAAGCTGTTCCTTAAACTAAAGGCCTCTTATCTCTTCTGGCTGCCTCTTGGGTCCAGTCCCTCAGGAAAGCATCCCCTTTTCCATCTTCCTCAGAAATTTCTTGTCCTTCATAGTTTCCTGGTGAATTGCCTGGACAATGCATGCTTTTTTGCCTGTGGAGCCAAGAGATTGGGGAAGCCATACTTTAGATGAGGTTCTTCCTTGGACCCTCTCTGCCTAGGTGTATAGGTCACTGACAACCAAATTATGGGGGTTTTCTTCCCATAGGGCATTTGTCATATTTTGGAAGCCCATTTGAGTTTAAAAGCAAACAAAACTCTTTCAGACCCAAAGGAAAGAGTCAGTAGTGGTGGAATCCAGTGTGTCATTGAAGAAGGTAAATGAACCTCCCCAGCAGCCTCAAATCCCAGAATGTGGCCACCACCTTCTCAGAACCTAGTAACTACAAACCACAGGGAAGGAGAGCCTGGAAGCAACAGTAAGGCCATCGGGAGAGCAAAGCCATGTCATGCCATGGAGTTATCTGTCCCCGACTCTGCTCATCTTCCAGACTTCCCATTTCTCTGGGCTGTGGCAACAAGCACTTCAGTTACTAGTAAAGGATACATGGACTGAAGGTAAAGGCAGCACATCCGGGGCAGCCTGCAGGCCACCCTGTTCCAGCTTCACTGAGGGAAGGAGGGCCAGTCTTTCCAAAGGCGGGGAAGCGAAGGGCAAGGGGTACTGCTGCTGCCTCAGAACCGATGGCCGCAGTCTGGCTGCTCCCCAAGGTCGCAGGGCGGACTCTGAGGAGGGATGGCTTTGGAAAGATGAGTCCTGGGGCAGACTGCTGCTCCAGTGACTGCTGGGTCCACACCCCAGTAGCTGGCGGAGAATCTGATTTTCCTGGACTTGGGAAGGTGTGGTCAAAGGGCAGTTTGCTGGGGGACCCTGACAGGGTCTGGAGAACATCCTCAGGGAGACAGGGTACCTAGGAGGATCCAAGGACTTGGCCAGGGATAAGTTTCGCAGTGGGACCCCGGTCAGTGGCTGGCCCTCCTGGGCAAGGTGGCCAAAGGAAAGAGATCTTTACAGGCACCTCTCTCAGGAGGGGAGGGCTCGCTTCTCCCCTCTGGCACAAGCCCCTGGAAGCTTCTGCCCAGCTGAGTCAGGTGGCCTGGGGGATCCAACAGTACCTTTTGTAATACTGAGTCCACAGCTTGGGACACTGCCTCGGTCAACTCTTTCCTCAGAATCTCCAGCAAAGCCCGTGCTCCACACGGAAGGAACCTGGGCTCCTCAGACTCGTATTCCACGTCGGATGCCCTGTGTTTTTCCTCTCCGGAGAGGTCCCCATGGGAGCCCTGGTAGTGGTCACTGCCCACCACCCAGGGCCTAGATCCATAGCCCTTCCTCTGCTTCACACTCAGAGGGCCCTTGTCCGTCTCGGAGCCTCCTGGGTCCTGAGCCGCGTCCCTGGGCTCAGCAGCCTGCAGGATGTGCTTCTGTAAATGTCTTAGCTGTTGCTTCAGCTGATGGAGCTGTTCTCTCACCCGAGGGCCCCCTTTCCTGCTGTCATGGTTCCCAGCAGGGCCTGGCTTCAGGGGGCCTTGCTGCACGGGAAGGCTCTGCTTCCTCTTCCGCTCCCGCGCCCTCTCTGGGCAACATGCGGCCTCCCCGGCTCGGGCACCGTCTGGCAGCAGAGTGTTGGGAGAGAGGCACATGCCTTGGACGATGGTCTCCACTCTGGCCCTCTTTGCCTGGATATTCTCATCCCAGAACCAGTCAGGGTCGGCAAAGCTAGAACTGGGGACTGGGCTCCAGGCAAAGGGGGAGCCTCCGGCCTTCTCTCGGGGGACTGGGCTTCTCTCGCCTTCCATACAGGGCTGTGCCAGGTGGGAGCAAGCCCGGGACAGAGGAGGAAGCAAGCCAGAGTTTGGATCCATCCCCTGGCTCCACGGGCACCTGCTCAGAGGGTTGGTTGCAGCTCCGCAAGGGAATCCCTTCTCCTAAGGTCCTCAGGTGGAGGGGTACCCAGAGTGAGCCAGGGGTTCCTCCTCTGCACTCAGAAGGATGAGAAGCAGCCGTCAAGGATTCAAATTCTGTGGTGCCAGGGCTTACAAACCTGAGCAGACTCTGCAGAACTAAGAGACAGGAAGAAAAGAATAGCGTATGTGACTTTGAGCTGTGCAAACAAATAACCTAGAGATGTTATTAAAATGCAGATTTGGATTCAGCAGGTCTGGGGTGGGACAGAGATTCTGTATCTCTAACCAGCTCCCAGGCGATGCTGTGCTTGCTGGTTGGGATCCTACTTTAAGAAGATTCCTAAGAGAGATCCTTCAGGGAGAAATTCTCTAGCTGGGGCATGACAATAGAATAATAATAATGAATGTAATAGCAGTAGCTAACTGCACAACTGGCATCATGCCAAGAGCTTTACATCCATTACCCAATATAATTCTCATAACAACTCCCTGAGAATGTTGTCATTCTCATTTAAGAGATAAGGAAACAAAACAAGGTTTAACTGATTCAGAGTACTTTCTTAGCATCTACCACCACAGAATCCACACCCCCAACCCCGGCCCTCACCAGCCCCCCCACCCCAGGCACTTGTTAAAAATAACAAATTCAGTAGCCCCAATCAGTCCTGCGAAATCAGAACCCCTTCATACTGGGGCTGAGAACCTGCATTTGAAAACAGCAAACCAGAGTTTGAGAACCAGCTGTTTGACCACTACACTGTCCTGCTCCTGGAAGAATCTGATTACACATTCATTGTTCACATCCAATAACTATTTAGTAAGCACCTCCAAAAAAAAAAAAAAAAAAAAAAAAACACCTCCGAGGCATCGGGCCTTTGTCTGAGCACCTGGAGAGACAGTGGTGAACAAGACCAGCTGAGTCCTGCTCTCATGGAGCTGGCTGTCTACTGGGAAGAGAGAATGAACAAATCTATTTTCAGGTCGTAATACCTGCTATGAATGAAAAGTGCAAAAAGGGACTGGAAATCAGGCTGAGGGTGTGGGAAGAAGGAGGAAGCTATTTCAGGAAAACTTGCCTAAAGCTATTTTTTCCCCCACAAAATACCACCATACTTTAACCAAGAGGCTTCAGATCGCAAGTGTAAGGCACTTGGAGTTTACAAAACGTTTGTACATGCCACCTCCTTGCACCTCTCACCAAGCTGGAGAATCAGTATGATGCTCCCATTTTACAGATGAGGAAAACCGAGGCTCAGTGAGGCTGAGAGTGGCCCCCAGTTACTAAGATACTACGACTCAAATCCTTTGACACAACCACACTTTAGCTGCCTCCCTGGAGAAAGAAAGACCTGTATAAGAGATTGATTTCAGGGTGCTTGGGTGGCACGGTCGGTTAATTGTCTGCCTCTTGGTTTTAGCTCAGATCCTGATCTAAGGGTTGTGAGATTGAGCCCCAAGTCGAGTTATACACTCAGTATGGAGTTCTGCTTGAGATTTTCTCTCCATCCTCTCTCTCTCTCTCTAAAATGAATAAATGCATCTTTAAAAAAAAAGAAAAAGAGACTGACTTCTCTGGCAGGGGGATGCTTCCTTTCCTACAAGAGGTAAATTAACTTCTTTCCTCTACGAGTTTCCACTCTCCTTTGCTTCTCTTGCACAAATGCTGGCAGGAGAGAGTCTGCTTACCCTCTTCCTACTTCCCATCTAAAGCTTACTTGGAGTTCTCTACCTCCAGCAGAGCTTAGCTTTTCAGCAGCCACTGGGTTCTTGTGTGGACGTGGCCACTGCCTCCACCTGGAGCTTCCGAACAACCAGCAGAGACACCCAACACAAGCTCCCCGTGAGCAATGTGCCCCCCAAGTGCCAGGGCAGAGGCAGGGAAGTGGCGGCAGCTGCAGAGCCATCACACAGAAAATGAAAGCAATGTTCATGGGTCAGAATAATTAGAAGGTTTTTGCTTTGAGTAAGATATTTGTTAATTACTAAGATAAAATAGATGCTTTGCCAAATTAATATACACTTAAAAACTTATCACCAAACTTATCCCAACAGTTTGGATGCTTTACCACCTCTTGAAGAGAGACATGTTTCTTAACTTCCTGTGATCATTTGACAAAGATTATATTTTATTTGTATAATATGAAAAAGTTAAAAAAATATGAAGAAGTTATCTTTACATCAACTCTTACCATCTGCTAGGCATATCTGGGTGATTCATTAAGCATGCATTGGCTGGGTTCTAACTAATAACAATCACTGAACTAGCGGAATTGATATTTTAACAATGAGAGACTCACAATAATACAAACTCTACATATTTTCAGTTAGGTACTTTCCAAAACGAAGAGGGGATTGGTTATGGTTATTTTAACTGCTGAGTGAACATCTGCTTAAATTCAACACTTTTATTTTTTATTTGTTTATTTTTTAAAGATTTTATTTATTTATTCATGAGAGGCACACAGAGAGAGACAGAGAGAGAGAGAGGCAGAGACACAGGCAGAGGGAGAAGCAGGCTCCGTGCAGGGAGTTTGATGTGGGACTTGATCCCGGGTTTCTAGGGTCATGCCTTGGGCCGAAGGTGGCTCTAAACTGCTGAGCCACCCGAGCTGCCCAAATTCAACACTTTTAAACCTAAACTCTATAGCTGCCCCTCTGCCTCATGGCTCATACTACCTATCTTGTTTAAGCTGGAAGCTGGGGAGTCTCTTTGACTCCTCCCCGACTCCTCATCCTCAACATTGATTTGGTTACCACGTCTAGTAATTTATGGCAAAAAATTTGCTCCACCATCCCTTTCCCATTACACTTTCTCAATTCGGCGTCTCAACTTTTTATCCAGATAATTCCAGTACTTCATGACTGGTTCTCCTATCCTTTAGCATCTCCTCACACTGGTCCTTTTACATTCATTCATGCATTCATTCATTCACTCAACAACATGCATCAAGTGCTCACAACAGACAAAATCCTCTGCCCATGTGGAGCTAACATTCATGCAAAGGGAGCCAGATGTCATAACACAGTAGGTAAGTATGGAAGGTCATTGTATAGGGTCATGTTGGCCACTGTGAAGACCTTGGCCTTTACTCTGAGATAAATGAGGATCCACCAGAGGTTAGAAGTAATATGACCAGACTCAGTTTTTTGAAAGGATCATTCTTTACTAGATGGAAAATAGACTGGGGATGGGGAACAAGTATCGAAACAGCCTTAGGAGGCTCTAGGCATCTAGGCAGTGACCTAGAGGGTAATAATGTAGATGAGGTGTCTGGGACCAGGATGGTAGCAATGCAAGTGGTAGTTACATCAGTCAGATCCTGGATACATGTTGAATGTGGAGCTCATGCAATTTGCTAACAGATTGGATATGGAGCACAAAGAGAAATAAAGTATCACTGATTATGACTCGAAAGTGTCTGGCCTGAGCTGAGCCACTGGAAGGATGAAATTGCACAAGCTGAGTCAGAAGGATTATAGGGGAGTGGGTTTGGGGAGGAATATCAAGAGCTCAGTTTTTCATGTGTTGAAGTTGAGATAAGTATGAGACATCTAAATGAAGATGTTGAGAAAGCGGTTGGATAAATAAGCCTGGGACTTAGTGAAAAAATCTGGGCTAAAAGTATAAAGTTGGTGGTTATCACTATATAGATGGATGAGCTCACCAAGGAATGAATGTACACAGAGAGGAGGAAGGGGCTAAGGTCCGAGTCTGGGACGTAGCAACAAGAAGAGGCCGGAGTAAGAGGGGAATCAGTCAAGGATGAGAAGAAGTGATCAGCAAGGTGAGAAGAAACCTAGGGGAGTATAGTTCCTGAGAGCCAAGTGAAGACAGTGTTTCTAGAAGCAGGGAGATGTCCAGTCACATAAGGATTGTTAGTAACATAGAGGTGTTCCAGAGCTTGATCAGGGAAATTTTGGTGGAGTGCAGGGAGAAAAAGCCTGGTTGGAGTGGATTTAAGGCAAAGGACAAGAGCAGGAATTGGTGTAACTATGAGAACCCCTTCAAGGAGTTTTGCAAGAGGAGAAATGGGGACAAGTGGCTAGAAGGAGAAATGGGGTCAAGGAGGGTATCTCAAGATAGAAGAAATAACAGCATGGACAGCCCGGGTGGCTTAGTGGTTTAGTGCTGCCATCAGCCCAGGGCCTGATCCTGGAGACCCAGGATGGAGTCCCACGTCAGGTTCCCTGCATGGAACCTGCTTCTTCCTCTGCCTGTGTCTCTGCCTCCCTCTCCCCCTCTGTGTCTCTCATGAATAAATAAATAAAATCTTAAAAAAAAAAAAAGAGGGGATCCCTGGGTGGCTCAGCGGTTTAGCACCTGCATTTGGCCCAGGGCGCGATCCTGGAGTCCCGGGATCGAGTCCCACATCAGGCTCCCGGCATGGAGCCTGCTTCTCCCTCCTCCTGTGTCACTGCCTCTCTCTCTCTATCTATCTCTCTCTATGTCTATCATAAATAAATAAATAAATCTTAAAAAAAGAAAAAAAAGAAGAGAAGAAGAAGAAGAAGAAGAAGAAGAAGAAGAAGAAGAAGAAGAAATAACAGCATATTTGTGGGCAAATGGTGATGTTGTAGAAAGATAGTTTGCTAAAGAAAAAAAAAAAGGAGAGTTTGCTAATGTAGGCCAGAGGGGGAGAATTTCTGGAGCCCATCCTGTCCTTGGGTAGGAAGGTGGGGGTGAAATGTCATACATGGGGAGAGATGGACTTTAGAGAGAAGAACCCTTGGTTCGTCCATGATAGAGGGGGGGAGGCAGTTTATGTGGACAGGAGCTGCCAAGCGGTAGCTGCAGTGATGGAAGCTGGTAGAAATTCCCTTCTTATTGTCTCCATTTTGTCAGCCACACTGGCATCAGCATTAGTTTTCTAAAACACAGGCCTGCTTATGCCCTTGCACGGAATGAGTCTTTGCTAGCTCCCTGTTAAATATAAGTACAGATGTCTCAGCTCCTCTGG